AAAAAAAAAAGTGGGGGGACTATGTTGGGAAGTCATAAACCTCAGATAAACGTGATCATTCTGGCCCTTCTCCGCCCTCCACTCTGCAGAACAAACATCTGAGCAGTCGGCATGAGAATGCTTAGGAATTAGCCGCAACTACCCAGACATTTTCTGGATAGATCCTGTTAGGCTCTTCCGCATATTTCTTTCATTTCAAAGTGATTCTCTGAAGAGCATGTGTTGTATTCCTTTATGGACCCCCGTTTGTCTGCTCTAAGGCCATCCATTCAGCAGGGATATGGTGGCGTTCGGTCCTCTTCAGATCAGAACGGCTGCTCGCCATCAATACATGGAGCAAAGAGAGTTTCATTCATTCACAAAATTCTGTAGAAGGGACTTCTCTGGAATCACAGTAGGGATAAAAAGAGGTCATTGATTTTATGTCCCTACTTCAGGGAATGGCGAATTGAAGGTTTACTTACCTGAGACTTTCATTCCTTCTTTGGGACCAAGTTAAAAGACCAAGACGCTCCTGGTTAAACTGGATATGGAGTATCGTGTAGACAGGGCTGCACATTCTAGCTTTGCTGTATTTCTGCTTTCTCAGTGGACATCTCAGAGCTGAAACATTCCACATCCCCAGCAATGTCGGGGCCAACTGCGGTTTACCATTCTGAATAAAAATCCCCCTGCTTCCAGCTTCTCTGAGTCCCCCTGCCCCTCGCTCCTATTTATTAAGCATCACACTACCCAGGAGATACACTAGCAGACTGTGCAATGGAATAAAAACCACACTTTACATTCTTTCGAACTGTATCATATGTAATAGTATCACTTTTTCTACATTTTGGTCAAATAAATTTTTACATAAACTACAGTTGGTGTGAATTTCAGAATGGGGGGGGGCACAGAAAGCATTTTGGTTCATCAATGTTGATGAAATGGGAGGGACGGTAACTGTGCCAAGAACTTAGCAAACACTATCTATTTGCTTTATGCCGTAACTGCACGATGTAAGGATTACGACGTCCATATTATAGAGAACACTTGGCCACGGTAATTCAACAGTTCCTGTCCTCTGTTATCCTCAGTTCTGCCTGAGCTGGGTGGTGAAGCATAAATAAGATTTTAATAGGTAAGATCAGGGCAGCTGGTCTCTGTTAATTGAGTTAGGACAATACAAGGCCTGTCTGAATAAGACTCTTGTGTGTCACGTACGAAGCGAAGCTCATGTAGAAAAGTCAGAAGGTAAGCTGGGTCTACACTGAGAGACTTAATTTGGTTGGGAGCAGAGAGCCAGTGAGGACTGGGAAAAACAAATAAAAGCAATACACTAGGAAAATCCACTTAGCATTCATTTTCAAGGAGAACTAGAGTGGGGACAGACCATACGCAGGAAGGCCAGTTAGGAAAATACTGCAATGGAACTTAGAGAGTGTCAAAGGTCACCACAGTTTCATTACCTGAATTGCTTTGATATTTTGCCTCAAAATTTTGGCAAGAGGAGGTAGGAAATCAAAAACAGAAATGAAAGCCTTTTTTTTTTTTTTAAAGAATTATTCTATTGAACTTATTTATTTAACCACTTCAATTTGACCAGAAAGGGACGGGGCTGGGGCAGTAAGTCACCGGGTTCGGGACTCAAACCGCAGTCGGCCATGTGGGAGTCCAATGCCCTTAACCACCATGCCACCTGCTGGCCCCAAGAAATAAAACCCTTTAGAATGTTATGCAATGTGCAGTGTTGTTACCAAGTACGATGAAAACATTTGCTTCATATTCAACATTTAGCTAAGTTAATTTAGAAAGTTGTTGCAGGCACTATGGGTAAACCATAATTTCCCTCCTCTAGCGCCCTACCATTATTAGAACAAAGTTTCACCTTTATGTGTATTTTTCTCCTACCCTCGTGGTTTGTAATCTAATCATAGAATACTGTTTTAGTGGGAACCAGCAGTTAGCGTCATGGCTATATCACTGGACTCCCATGTAGTCTACTGTGGTTCGCGTCCCGGACCCGGTGGCTTAAAACTCACGCCGGGCGCGTGTGCGTGCGTGCCCAAGATCCCGAGAGGAGAATGGAGGAGAAGGGATTGCGATGTGGCCATCCCCCCTGGGGGGTGATTTCTCGCTTTCTGTCTCTATGTCTCTCTCTGTCTGGCGAGCGCACGCGCCTTATAGTGAAAACCTCTCCAAAAAAAAAAAAAAAAAGAATACTGTTTTAGTCATCCACGTGCCTCAGTGCTGAACACAGGAAGTGTTTACTATTTATTAAATTGACCTGTTCCAGTTCTTGGGGAGTTTCAACCCAGGTATGGGTAGAACACAGAGTATGGTTACGACCAGGGCGTAAGGGGTAAAGATTTTGGATTTTATTCCAAGAGACCAAGGATGGGCATTAGATTAAGTGCTTTAGAAGGAGCACGACAGGATGCAATATGGGTTAGAGAAAATGGGCAGGAAGACCATTGGAGAAATGTGGCAAGACATGGAAGAGTAAGATTCAAGAGCCGCTTAGAACTTAAGAACCAGGAGGTGAGAAATGAAAAATGTCAGCGACACCCTAGGTTTCACTCGGAAGGTAATTTAGGACAAGCTAGCAGGAGTAGATGATACTGAGTTTGATGTGGTTTTTTTGTTTTGTTTTTTTGTTTTCGAGAGGTTTTTGCTATAAGGCGCGTGTGCTCGCCAGACAGAGAGACAGAAAGCGAGAAATCACCCCTCGGGGGGATGACCACACCGCAATCCCTTCTCCTCCATTTTCCTCTCGGGATCTTGGGCATGCACGCACACGCGCCCGGTGTGAGTTTAAGCCCCCGGGTCTGGACGCGAACTGCGGTCGACTACATGGGAGTCCAGCGACATAGCCATTACGCTAACTGCTGGTCCCAGAGTTTGATGTGTTTTTTTTTAAGAATTTTAAAAATTTATTCATTCATTTTTTAAATTTAATTCCATTTGTTATTATGATTATTATTTTGACGAGAGAGCTAAAGAGAAAAGGAAAAGCGAGAAAGCAAGCTGCCAGGTCCCAGACTCAAATCACGATAGGCCATGTGGGAATCCAGCACCCTCAATCACCACGCCATCTGTGGGCCCTTCATTCACTTATTTTAATTTGATGAGAGAGCTGGTAGGGGAAAGGAGAAAGAGGGAAGGAAAGTGAGAAAGCAAACCACCCAGGTCCAGGATTCCAACCCCAACCAGGTTCAGCCCCGTGGAAGTGTCCAGTGCTTGCACCACCATGCCACCTGCTTGTCCCAAGTTTGATGTATCATTGACAATCCCAACGGCACAGATGCCCAGATGCCCAGAAAACAGTTGGACCTACATGGATCTCTGGGCTGTGAATACAAAACAGAATCCTCAGTGGAAGATATTATTGATAAATGATTTAGAATTCACAGAAGTGAAAGAGACCATCCAGAATGAGAACAGAAACAGAAAAACAAAGCAAATCAATGTGTAAGGGACAAGCAGAACAACGCCCTAACCACCACCACTCAGCCAAAACAGACTGCAGTGATCTTTCAGAAGCAGCACCCAGAAAAGGGGAGGCAGAGATGAGAGGAAGAAAAAACAGCAAATAAAATGGGAGAGAGGCCAACAGGTGGCATGGGGGTTAAGATGCTAGACTCCTACATGGCTGAGCATGGTTCAAGTCCTGGACCTGGTAGTTACCATTCTCACTTTCCTTTTCTCTCTCTGCCCTACAGCAAATTTGAAAAGGAAGTTAAATAATTCTTTAAAATATAAAATGAGAATAATAAAAAATTCCCAAAGAAGGTTGTCAAGAGTATCAAACACTAGAGATAGAAGCCTACCAAGTTTTTTTTTTTTTTTTTGGAGAGATTTTCACTGTAGGGCACGTGCGCTCGCCAGACAGACAGAGAGAGACATAGAGACAGAAAGCGAGAAATCACCCCCCAGGGGGGATGGCCACGCCGCAATCCCTTCTCCTCCATTCTCCTCTCGGGATCTTGGGCACGCACGCACACGTGTCCGGCGTGAGTTTAAGCCACCGGGTCCGGGACACGAACCGCGGTCGACTACGTGGGAGTCCAGCAACATAGCCATTACGCTAACTGCTGGTTCCCAAGCCTACCAAGTTTTCAATGATGCCCTGGTTGAAGCTCTTAACCAGAGATCGATTAGCAGAATGAGCTGAAGAGAAAGGAAGGCCAGAGCCATTTTTCAGGTCTTTAGGTCCATCTCAAGGTCTGATATCCCAGTGACCTAAAGACTGGATGGGGGCCAGCAGGTGGTATAGTGGTTAAGGGTGTTGGACTCCCACATGGCAGACTGCAGTTCAAGTCCCGGACCTGGCACCTTGCTTCCCCTCTCACTCTATCCCCCTCTGGTCAAATTAAATAAAGAATTATATATATATATTTTTAATTGTATTTTTTTGAAAAAAAAAAAAAAAAGACTGGATGTCTGTGAGAAGCAGGAAACTCTTGGGGTCAAATCTTGACCTCTGGAGCGGTGTGAGTTCAAAAGCCAACTTCCCCCACTTTGGACCCCAAGAAGGTCGTTTCACCTTCTGCAGCCTGTTTTCCCACCATAAAACAGGGAAAAACGGTCACTGGGTTAGTGTATATATTAAACTTTTTTGGGGGGAAGCGGTAACTGTTGGGAGCACCACCGGGCACAACCAATGCTGCACATTACATATAATTATCACTATCCGATCTCCTTCACCGGATGCCGAGATACCTCCACCTCGGACGTGGGGCCACAAGGCCCGGGTTGGCACTAGAGGTGGAGTGGCCTGGACAACCTCTATTAGTCCTGAGGGTGGTCCTGAGGAGTCTGCACCTCAGGGCGCAGATGGTGGCGGTGGCCGTGGTTCTCTACGTAGGTCGCTTGATCAGGCATTCCGGGGCACTTCTGGAGCGTCTTCCCGTCCATTACCACCAGCCTAGGCCGGCTCCTGCTGGCCCGACACGGAGGCCTCCAGAAGGCGTTTACCAGCGTGCTCGTCCCTTCCCGCGCTGCCCTCCTCGGCACCTACTGCGGCTGCGCGGGACGTACAGGCGGTCCCCCCCTGAGACGCTCACGCGCGTGCGCCCTCTGCTGGCACCTAACGGACTTCACGACGCGCATGCGCACACACACCAAGCCCCGCCCCCGGGCTGCCGGCGCGCGGATCCGTTGGCGGCGTTCCCCGCCCTACCCCTCCCATTACGGGGTGGAGGCAAGCCGCCCTAAGACGGGGAAGAAGGCGGGGACACAGGATACCACGCCCCTCTTCGTTCTCTTTTGAAGCCCCCTCGACTCTTCACTACTGGCCAATCACAGCTCGCCCTGTCCCTAGCGCAGGCCAATGGGTGGCGCGTTCGGGCTGCTTCCGGTCCCGCGTCCCGCTCGCCCCTTCCCCAGGTCTCCCCGCGACGGGCGGGGCGCAGGGGCGGGCGTCGGCCGCGGTGACGCGCTGCGGGCTGGGAGCCAATGGGGGTGGGCTCGATGCTGATTGACGGGGCCAGCGGCCAGTGGCGAGGGCCTGGCCGCACTTCCCGTCGGGGAGAGAGTGTAATATGGCGAAGACCTACGATTACCTGTTCAAGCTGCTGCTGATCGGGGACTCGGGGGTGGGGAAGACCTGTGTCCTGTTCCGCTTCTCCGAGGACGCCTTCAACTCCACTTTCATCTCCACCATAGGTAGCGGGGCCGAGGAGCGGCCGGGGGCCTGGGCAGGGCGCGTCCCTACGGGGCTGAGACTGAAGGGAGCGGCTGGGGCGGGCGGGGGGGAGAGGGTCGAGGGGGGCTGCGGGGAGAAGAACAGCCGCGTCCACTGCAGTTTGGGGTTTCCTGGGCTGCGGCGATGGTGGGGGGACCGGTGCCCATTTTGCAGATGGGGAAACTGAGGCTCCGATTCATATAGCCCGCTCTTTTGGGCATCTGTGTCCTGGGCTGGGGTCTTAGCTCCCGTCATCTCGTGCTGTCCTGGCTGCAGTCCTCGAAGCGGTTCTGTTGAGGTTCCCCCATCTTACCCTGCAGTTTGGGGTTTCCTGGGCTGCGGCGATGGTGGGGGGACCGGTGCCCATTTTGCAGATGGGGAAACTGAGGCTCCGATTCATATAGCCCGCTCTTTTGGGCATCTGTGTCCTGGGCTGGGGTCTTAGCTCCCGTCATCTCGTGCTGTCCTGGCTGCAGTCCTCGAAGCGGTTCTGTTGAGGTTCCCCCATCTTACCGAAGTGGAAACTGAGAAAGGACAGTTGACATCTAACCTTTTTGAGCGTTTACTCTGCGCCAGGCGCTTTCGGTGCGTTATTCACACTTTCAAGTGTGTTGGGTGCTGTTATGGGAGCACGTTTCACAGATGGGGAAGCTGAGGCTCAGAGAAGGTGTGGGATTTGCCCAAAGTCACACAGCCTGCAGGTGGCGAAGGTAGAATTTGAACCCAGGTGCTTGACCGCAACAACTGAAGCGTTGCCACCCCAGAGAGATGACCCCATGCACCCACAAGACAGGCACGCTGATCCACCGTTGAGCCAGGACTCAGTCCCCCACCTTTCCTGGTCTTTCTTTGGAATATGCACGGGCTGACCCTGACCCTGTTTTCCCCATTTGCAAGTGAATTTTTGCTCTATAAAGAATAGTGAGAGAGAGCTGGGAGCCTTGCCCTGCCCTGCCTTCTGTCTAACTCGAGGGTGACAGCAATGGCAAGTGGCAGCTGCCTGCCCTGGGACCTGTCATCCCTGAGGAGATACCAGATAAACGCCCCCATGAGAAAATAAAACCAGCCACTGCCTCAGACAGCTTGGACTTCCCTATCGCAGGGGCCAGGCCATTCGGTTGTCACTTTTGCAGAACAGCCTTTCCCGGAGGGGCCAGCCACATTGTGGTTGAACAGAAATGGCTTATCATATCTCTGTTCCGATGCCCACAGAATGAGGCTGACTTCTCTCCATGCTGCAAAAAAAAAAAAAAAAAAGTGGTCATGATCCACATAAAGAGGTTTGACCCTGGAGGAACAGTGGTCAGATCGGCTGCTCTATGAACTAGGTAGCCCTCTTCAAGAAGGGGGATGTGGGGACCAGCAGTTGGCGTCATGGCTATGTCGCTGGACTCCCATGTAGCCGACCGCGGTTCCAGTCCTGGACCCGGTGGCTTAAACATGCCGGACACATGTGCATGCATGCCCAAGATCCCAAGGGGAGAATGGAGGAGAAGGGATTGCGGGAGGCCATCCCCCCCGGGGGGGATTTCTCACTTTCTGTCTCTGTCTTTCTGGTGAGTGCATGTGCCCTATAGCAAAAACCTCTCCAAAAAAAAAGAAGGGGAATGTGGAAGAACAGTTGCAAACCCAGAAATGTATTCCGAATAGAGAAAACCCAGGGAATGGGCTTTGCCTCACTGTTGTGCAGCTTTCACCAAATTGAACTGCTGATTCTCTGCTGGCCCTCCTTCAGAAGCTATGCTTTGTAAAACAGTTGCCTTTCAGATGAAAAGGAGGGAGAATTGAACTCCAAATCCTCCGATTCCTGGTTGTAGTTGCTGTTTACTCTTGATCAAGAATGACCTCCTGTTGGGACCAGCAGTTGGCGTAATGGCTATGTCACTGGACTCCCAGGTAGTTGACCATGGTTGAAGTCCCGGACCCGGTGGCTTAAACTCACACCGGGCGCGTGTGCGTGTGTGCTCAAGATTCCGAGAGGAGAACAGAGGGGAAGGGATTGTGGCATGGCCATCCCCTCTGGGGGGTGATTTCTCGTTTTCTGTTTCTTTTCTTTCTGGCGAGCACTCATGCCCTATAGCAAAAACTTCTCAAAAAAAAAAAAAAAGAAAAGAAAAAAAAGAAATACCCCCTCTGATCCCTGTTTCTTCTTCAGAGAAGGAGGAATACTGTCTACTTTGACTAGTACCCTGGTCCAGGATCAGAACTATACAGTGGGGCCAGCCCTGTGGCTCAGTGGTTAAGGGAGCTGGATCCCACATGGCCGACTATGGTCAAAACCCAGCCTTGGTGACTTGAAAAACCCACCAGGTACATGTGTGCATGTGCCCAAAATACTGACGAGATGGAGAAATGGAGGAGAAGGGATGCAGTGTGAGCACACCCCACTGGAAATGTGTGTGCCCTCTGGCAATTAAAAAAAAAAATAGGAGGGGTCAGGAAATGGTATAGTGGTTAAGGTTCTGGACTCCCACATAGCTGACCAAAGTTCAAGTCCTAGACCTGGTGGCTTTCTTTCTCACTTTCCCTCTCTTTCTCTCTGTCTGTCTCTGGTGAGCAAGCCAGAGTATACCCTATAGCAAATAAAAAAATAATAGTAATAATAACAGTGATAAATAAAATTGCCCTATCCATTTTTTTTTGGAGAGGTTTTTGCTGTAGAAAGACAGAGAGACAGAAAGCGAGAAATCACCCCCCAGGGGGGATGGCCACACCGCAATCCCTTCTCCTCCATTCTCCTCTCGGCATCTTAGGCATGCATGCACCTGCGCCCAGCGTGAGTTTAAGCCACCGGGTCCGGGACTCGAACCGCGGTCAACTACATGGGAAGTCCAGCGACATAGCCATTATGCCAACTGCTGGTCCCGCTTCTTTCTTTTCTTTTTTTCTTTTTAAGTATATTATTTACTTCTTCCATGACAGGGAGGGGAACAGGCACCTCCAACAGGGTCTTTATGCCACAAATCACTATTAGTCTCAGCCGTTCTAGGTCACGGGCACATACATTTACACGTACAAGGACACCCCAGGATGTGAACCTGGGATCTTCTCATGTGGTTCTGGTTCTGTTACTTCTGCAGTGTCGTCTGGCTTCAGTTTTGTTTTGTTTTTCTTATTCTTTTATAGAATTATAAGTTAGTTTTGTTTTTTTTTTTTTTTTCCAGTTAGCCGGAGGGCACATTTTGCCAGAGAGAGAGAGACAGATGGAGGGAGAGAAGAAGGCATCCCCCGCGGGGGGCGAGGAATGGCCATACCACAATCTCTTTCCTTTATTTCTCCCTTTGGGGATTTAAGGGATGCACACACACGTACTCAATATTGCTCTCTTTTATTTTTTAGATTTTTTTTTCTTTTTTTTGGAGCGGTTTTTGCTATAGGGTTATGTGTGTACACCAGAAAGAGACAGAGAGACAGAAAGCGGTGGTTTCTCGCTTTCTGTCTCTCTGTCTTTCTGGCGAGCGCATGCGCCCTATAGCAAACTCCTCTCCAAAATTGTTTTTAAAAAAGTAGGACCCTCCAATGCATAATCATTATATTTCCTCCATTTCCTATCAGGATCTTGGGCGTGTGTATATGTGTTTTTCTAAGCTATCCGTGCTGGGATTCGAACCACAGTTGGCAATGTGGGGTCTGGCTCTCCATGCACAGCACTTAACCACTGTGCTACGGGACCAGCTCCAAACAGCGCTGCTTGATTTTGAGTTCGTATTTCCCTGTGCATCCGTGACAGAAAATGGAAGAGTGAAACTCCGGACTGCTTAGCTCTGAAACGCAGCTTAGTCCGTAACAGCGGTTCTGCGCTGGCACCGAACGCACCCCTGGGTTTTCTTTATCGAGCAGGGATTGAGTGGCTGTTCGTTTCCACACAGGCTGCATTCTACGAAAGCCTTTTCTCCTAAGCCCCATCGATCATTTGTGGTGTGAACTTGGCCCTGTGGCTCCCTGGCACCCGTTTCCACCAGCCTGGCCCAGACTCCATCATCTCCTCAGGGACCCATTCATTCTTTCAGTGAGATAGCTGGCGTTCATGGTAATGCTTCCTAAACCCTACAGCGCCAGGTACCACCTGTCGCTCTCTGTTCTTGCTTTTCTTTTTTTAAGAGAGATTTTTTGTTATAGGCCAGGTGTGCTCACTGGGAAGACAGAAAGACAGAAAACAAGAAATCACCCCCTGGGGGGATGGCCACACCACAATCCCTTCTTCTTTTCCTCTTGAGATCTTGGGCACACGTGCACACATGCCTGGTGTGAGTTTTAAGCAGCCTGATCCAGGACTCGAACTGCAGTTGACTGCGTGGGAGTCCAGCGATGAAACCATTACACCATCTGTTGGTCCCCTTTTGTATATATAAATTTCTTCTTCTTCTTTTTTTTTTTTTTTAATTTATTCATTGTAGAGGGTGTTTTTGCTTTAGGGCATTTGTACACATTGGAGAGAGAGAGAGACAGAGACAGTGAGAGGGAAAGTGAGACGTCATCCGGCCGGGAGGGATGGCAACACTGCAGTCACTTCATATTCTTCCTGGGATCTTAGGTACGCACCCACACGCTCCTGGTATAAGTTTCAAGCCACCACCAGGTTTGGGACTTAAACTGTGGTCGGCCATGTGGGAGTCCCAGTGACATAACTGCTATGCCATCTGCTGGTCCCATCTCTGCTTTTTCATCCAGCCATCTCTTTTATTTATTTATTTATTTTTTTTTTGGTGGGGGAGTATAGGGCACATATACTCGCCAGAGAGAGAGAGATAGAAAGTGAGAAAGTAACCCCCCAGGGTGAATGAGCACCTTTCCATTGTTCTGGATTTGGGGCATGCACGCACAGACACACGCTTGGTGTTTAGTGTGCTTCCCAAGCGGCCGGGTCTGGGACTTGAACCGCGCTATTAGCTATGCGGGATCCAGCCGCCCTAAGGCCCTCATCCAGTCATCTTTTGACAACGCCTGGTGCGTGCTAGGCTTCAACCTCAATGGTGGGGGGCTACCGTGATGACTCAGGTGAATCAGAGGGGAGCAGAAACGGGGCCTGTAGCCAAGTCGTGGCCAGGACTGAGCGATCACCTTCTAGCAAATCGGTGTTCTGTCCCTGCCGTGTTTAGTCACTGGCGATGCCAGTAGTGAGTAGGACATGTGAAGGCCCTGCCTTCCTGGAGCTTATGTTCTTGCAGGTGAAATTCAAATGTCGAGACTGTCGGGCACGCAGTTATCTCCCATCACGGGTTCAGAGAGCTCAGGCCAGGCCTAGGCCTCCGGTCTTCTCAGATAGGGATTTAGACCAAACTCCTGGGGTCAAAGGCTAGGTTTGGCTATTTCTCTTGTACACAGGCTATTCAGGTCAGCAAGTTTTTAGTTTGTTTGTTTGTTTATTTGTTTGTTTGTTTTTAGAGATTTTCGCTATAAAGTGCATGTGCATTTGACGGAGAGATAAGAGAGACAGCAAGTGGGGAATCACCCTCCACTCCAGGAGGGATGGCCACACTGCAGTTTCTCCTTTTCCACTCTCCTCTCAGGATTTGGGGCACTTAGGCACACATGCCTGATGTGAGTCTTAAGCCGCCAGGTCTGAGACTTGAACCACGGTTGAATACGTGGGAGTTCAGCGACGTAACTATTACACCATCTGCTGGTTCCCCAGCAAGTTTTGAGCCAGCCTAGCGGTTTAGGGAGCTGGTTCCCACGAGGCCGCTGCAGTTTAAATCCCAGCTCTAGTGGCTTGAAAAGCATCCCAGGCGGGTGTGTGTGTGCGTGCGCGCGCGTGTGTGCACGTGCACCTGTGCCCCAAATCCTGACAGGATGGGGAAGTAGAGAAAAAGGGATTGCAGCATGGCTGTGCCCCATGACGGGAGTGGGGGAGTGCTTTATCCCTCTTTTTTGTCTCTGCACATGCCCTCTGGCAAAAAAAAAAAAAAAAGGGCATTTTTTTTTTAAAGCTTTTTTTAAGTCTCCTATGGGAGAGAGAGGGCATGTACCCAAAAGAGTCTTTATTTTTTTTTTTTAAGAATTATTTATTTATTATCATTACTTTTCAATTTGACCAGAGAGACAGAGTGAGAGAGAGAGAGAGAGAAAGTGAGAAAGCAAGCAGCCCAACCTGAGACTTGAACTGTGGTCAACCGTGTAGGAATCCATTGCTTTTAACCATAACATCTACCAGCCCCATTCCCCCAGGGTCTTAATACTACAGTCTACCACCAGCCTTAGGCAGCCCTTGGATCATGGGCATGCATGTGGTCTTCAGACAAGAGCCCCGAAACTTCTCAAGTTGGTCAGCCTTGCACAGTGGTGTGTTTTACTGCGAAGTGTCAGGTCTCAGTGTTTGAAGCAGAAAGAGCAGGGAAGGGAGGAGTGGGTGAGAATGGTCAGGAGGTGGCAAAGGGCGGAGTCACCACATAGCTATAGAAGGAAGGAATATTCCAGGAGATAGAACAGCACCATAAAAGCCCTGAGGCAGGAGCATGTTGGGGTTGTTTAGGAAATAGCCATGTGAGCAGTGTGGCTAGGGTGTGGCCATCCGGAAAGACCAAGTCCCAAGAGGTGACCAGGTTAGACAGCACCTGGGGGAAGGGAGGAAAGGGCAAGGAAGCTACTAGAAGGTATGTGTGTGTGTGTGTGTCTGTGTGTGTGTGTTTGAAAAGCAAATTTTTTTTAACCTAATTGTCCAAAAATTGATGACTGGATGAAAAACCGTGGTACACATGTACTATGGAATATTACCCAGCCATAAGAAACAGTGAAGCCTTAATTGTTTGATTCAAAGTGGATGCATATAGAAGACTTAATGTTGACTGAAGTGAGCCAGACTTTGAAAGCTACGCCCTGTATATCCCCACTCGATATGTACTGAGTATCTGCGCTCTGTGGCAGAAGTGGAAAGTTCTGAAGCTATGATAGTAGAGAGGATAAGTGTATATATGAGACTGTAAAGGAGGAGAGTGGATGCAGAGAGTGGGTGGTAGAGACACCCACTGTTAAAACATTTACCAGACAAAAATAAAAAAAAGTGAAGTTCTCTGTTGAAACAAAATTGTATATACATTATAGTGGGGACTTTATGTAAAATGTGAAATTAATTGGAAATTTTTTTAAATTAAAAATTCTTTTTCAGAGGAACCAGCAGTTAGCATAATGGCTATGTCACTGGACTCCCACGTAGTCGACCGCGGTTCGCGTCCCGGACCTGGTAGCTTAAAACTCACGCCGGGCGCGTGTGCGTGCGTGCCCAAGATCCCGAGAAGAGAATGGAGGAGAAGGGATTGCGGCGTGACCATCCCCCCTGGGGGGTGATTTCTCGCTTTCTGTCTCTATGTCTCTCTCTGTCTGGCGAGTGCACGTGCCCTATAGCCAAAACCTCTAAAAAAAAAAAAAAAATTCTTTTTCATTTTTGCTGTATGGCCTGTATATTTGCCAGAGAGAAAGAGAAAGCACACACACCCCGGGGTATGGCCATGCTGCAAATCCCTTCTTGGGATTTTCCCCTTGGGATTTTGGGCATATATGTACACACACTTGGCATGTTTTTCAAATCGCGGGGTACAAGACTCCCAACTGCTCAGTCAGTCATGTGGGATCTAGTGCCTAAACTACCATGCCACTGGCTTGCCCTGTTTTTAAAATATGTTTATGAGAGAGAGAGACAGAGACAGAGACAGAGAAATGGGTACCTCCAACCGAGTTTTCACATTGCAGCTCATTCCAAGCCACAACCAGCCCCAGTTCTGAACTCATGCACATCTGGTGTAGACAAGGAGGTCTTGGAATAAGAATTGAGGACTTCCTGTGGGTCCCATGTGGGACCAACTGCATTATCACTATGCCACTGTCTGGCCACGGTTTTGGTTTTTGTTTTAAATAATTTCTGTTTGTTTCTTTGTGTTTGTCACAGGGCACGGGCAGTTGCCAGAGAGAGAGGGAAAGTGAGGAATCATCTCCTGGGGGGGATGGCCTTGCCACAGTCCCTCCTCCATTCTCCTCCTAGGATTCTGGACATGCAGTCACATGTGCCTAGCACCTAGTGCCCCCAGCCATCTCCCTGGGGTGTGATTTCTTTTCTCTCTCTCTCTCTCTCTCTTTCTCCAATGAATGACTGTACCCCTATAGCAAAACTAAAAAAAAAAAAAAAGAGAAGTGTGCCCAGCTGATGGGCTGATGGGGCGCAGGCCACTCACTGAGGAGGAACAACATACACTAAAGCATTGAGCAGGAGAAGGTGTGGCTGCGTGCACAGTGGGACCCTGTGCCCTGCGTGCTTGGAGGGTCAGGTGCAGGGGGATGGTAGCATGGGATTCTGGCCTGCAAAGGACTTTGCTGAGGCCCGCTCTGTGTGGCTACCTGGGGCGGGGAGGTAGGTTTAGCTGTTGCCAGCAGGGGACAAGGACTTTGACACCTGAGCTACCTGGGTTGACCAATGCCAGTTGCCACCTTCACTCTAGCTAGCTCTCATCAGCACCTGTCAGACCCTGGAGCCTCAGGTTCTACTTCTGTGAGAGGAGGGAAAGATCTCCTGATAGCTCCAGGCTTATTGAGGGTGTAAGTGGGAATCAAGATCCCACGGGTCCAGCGATGTGTAAGCCACAGTGGCTATTACCTACATAGCTTGGCAGTACCAGTCACAAACAAAGCTTGGGAAGTGGGCTGCTGGTGATAACGCTTTTTGTCTTTTCTTTCAGGAATTGACTTTAAAATTAGGACCATAGAGCTTGATGGCAAGAGGATTAAGCTACAGATATGGTAAGAGTTGTTGTTCAGCAGTCTCTGACCCGCCTTTGACCATCATCTCCATCTCCCCGTACATCAGGCTTCTTCAGAAGCTCCGGGAGTTTTATACCCAGCCCAAGGAGCCGCACTTGGCTGGCTGCTAGGGCCTGGGGTCTGTGGCAGCATCTGATGGGGACAAAGCCACCCAGTCCCTTAGCTGAATGTCCCAGTATGGGCAGAGCCTAGGTCTGCGCTTCCAAGTGGCCTCCTTCCCTTGGACTTGGAGAGAGCCCTCTGTGCCAGGTGGCAGTGACGGCAAAATGTCCCCCCTCCCCCGAAGTTTCCTTCTGAGCCTTCACCTAGCTGTACAGTAAGAAGATTGTACACCACTTCCTCTTTTCTCTCCTGGGGAAGCCCAGGCCTCACTTCCTGGCATGCAGACCTAAAACCCCTGAACCAGAATTAACCTGCAGTCAAGCCCAATGGTGAGCCCTGTTTCCGTTCCTCAGAGCCGAGGTGACTTCTCGTGCCACAGACAAGTAGGGAAGTTGTGAGTCACAAGTTGTGAGTCCCTGTTGCGGGCGCTGACTCTGGTCTGCAGCCTTCGCACTGGGAGACTGAATTCAGGGGGCCGGGTTCATGGGGTCCCGCCCTATTTCTACATCCCTTGTACAAAATCCCTAGCCGTGGGCCAAATGAAGAGCAGTCATATTTGGGAATGTGGGGCAGCCCCCCATTCTAGGGTGGGAGCTCAGTGCCATGAGATGGGCTGTGAAGCTGTCCTCCCTGTGGCCTTCCTTCCTCAAATCCCACACCACAAGCAGCAGTCCTGACTGGCCAGTGGTAGGGGAGCCTCATGGGTACCCTCTACTCCAGGTGATACCTTTTTTTTTTTAAATTATTTTTAAGTTTATTTATTTCTTCCATAAGAGAGGCAGGAAGAGAGAGAAAAAAGAGACGGAGAGATAGCACCCCAAGCAGGGTATCGATGTCCTAGTTCAACTCCATTCACAACTAGCTGCACATTCTGGTCCAGTGTGTGTGGCTGGTCTGCTCAGGGAGGTCTTCAGACTTGAGCCAGGAACCTGCCTTTGGGGGTCAGCCTAGTAGAACACCCTGTTTTACTGTGGTTTCTGGCCCCAGTGATCAGGAGATCCAAGATGAGAGTGAAATTGGTCTTAGTCCATGTGAGTTGCTATAATAGGATACCATAGGGCCAACCCCGTGGCCTCGTGGTTAAGGGAACTGGAGCCCACATGGCCAGCCATGCAGTTCAAATCCTGGCCCCAGTAACTTGAAAAACATGGCAGGATGGAGAAAAGGAAGAGAAGGAGTTCTGGTGTGACCACCACACATTAGGGGTTGCTTTCTCCCTGTCCCTCTCCCTCTTTCTCTCTCTGTCTCTGGCGAGCACACGCACCCTGTGGCAAAAACAAACGAACACGCAAACAAAAAGCAATACCGCAGACTGGGTAGTTTATGAGCAATACAAATTTATTTGGCTTACGGTTCTGGATGCTGGGAAGTCCAAGAGTGAGACCATATCTGGCGAAGGGGGCTTCATGCTGGATTATCCCATGGTAGAAGGTTCAACCCAATACATAAGACAGAAAGAAGTTGCTCGGGCCGACAGGTGGCGTGGTGATTAAGGGTGCTGGACTCCCACACGGCTGAACACAGTTCTAGTCCCAGACCTGGTGGCTTGCTTTCTCTTTTCTCTCTCTCACTCTGTTCCTCTCTGGTCAAATTAAAATTAAATTAAATTAAATTTTAAAATAAATAGTAAATAAGTAAAGTTAAATAAAATAATTTGAAAAAAAAAAAAAAAGATGCTGCTGCTGCTAAAAGCCTGTTCTTTTTTTTTTTCTTTCTTTCTTTTAAGGATTTCTCTGTAGGGTGTGTGCTCTTGCAGGAGAAAGACAGAGAGAGAGAAAGTGAGAAATCACCCCCTGGGGGGATGGCCACACCAGAATTTCTTCTCCTCCATTCTCCTCTCGGGATCTTGGGCACTCACGCACACGCGCCCGGCGTGAGTTTAAGCCACCGGGTCCGGGACTCAAACTGTGGTTGGCTATGTGGGAATCCAGAGCCTTAACACCATGCCACCTGGTGGCCCCCAAAAGCCTTTTTTTGTTTGTTTGTTTGTTTTTTTAGAACAGGCATTGAGCTAGACTGGCCCCCATATTGTACTGTAACCACTATCTGTAAGCACTGTGCTTAGAGAACCAGACCCCACATGGCTGACTCTGGTTCAAGTCCTAGCCTTGGCAGTTTGAGTGTCCTGCCGGGTGTGTGTGTGCCCAAATCCTGATCGAAAGGAGAAACAGAGGAAGAATTGCACTGTGACCACACCCTCTCCCTTGCACAAGCACACATGCTCTCTGGCTGTTACAATAGTAATTATTTAAGTAAAGGCTTTGGGACCATCAGGTGGCGTGGTGATTAGGAGCGCTGGACCCCCACATGGACGACCGCGGTTCAAGTCTTGGACCTGGCGGCTTCCATTTTTGCTTCTCTTTCTCTCTCTCTCTCTCTGACTCATTCTGTCCCTCTCTGGTCAAATTAAAAAATAAATAAAGTTAAATAAAATAATTCTTTTTTTTTTTTTTTTTTTTTTTTTTTTTTTTTTTTTTTTTTTGTTTTTTTTTTTTTTGAGAGGTTTTTGCCATGTGCTGGCCAGAGAGACAGAAAGGGAGAAATCACCCCCCAGGGGTTATGGCCACGCTGCAATCCCTTCTCCTCCATTCTCCTCTTGGGATCTTGGGCACGCACGCACACGCGCCCGGTGTGAGTTTAAGCCACCGGGTTTGGACTCGAACCATGGTCAACTATATGGGGGTCCAGCGACATAGCCATTACGCCAACTGCTGGTCTCATAAAATAATTATTTAAAAACAAAAAGAGCATTAAGCCCACTCATGAAGGTAAGAGCTCACGGTCTGGTCAGTCCTTAAAGGGCCCTCCTCTTAATACTGTTACAATGGCAGTTACAGTTCAGCCTGAGTTTTGAAGGGGACATTCAGACCACAGCAATAGCCACTACCTGGTCCGTCCTAACAGAGTTCGGTAGCAATTTGGTCTCTGGCCACCAGGGAAGTCCCTCCCCTTGCCACTTGTTCGATCACAGCAGCCTTTGTGCCCGGTCCAGAGTGACACGGTGCCGGTGAGCCGGCCCTGGACTTTCCTTTCCTCTTATCTTCCTTCATCCGCTCTTAGCCATCTCATTACTGGAGAACTTCAGACTCCCCCAGAAGGGCTAGGATCATGGCTGGGAATAACCACTAAGATCGTCCGCCAGCACCTCAGAAAGTCGGCTGAGAGGCCAGTAGGTGGCGCTGGACTCCCACAGGGCTGAGTGCAGTTCAAGTCCCGAACCTGGTGGCTTGCCTTCTCACTTCTCTCTCTGTGTCTTTGGTGATCATAATTAAAAATAATAATTAAAATATTTCTTTAAAAAACAAAAAAGACAGCTGAACACCAAGCAAGGCATTTCTGTACAGTCCAGGTGCAGAGCCCTCAATGGGCTGGGCAGGGCTATCGGAGACACCCTAGGCCTGGAGACAGGAAACACGAGTCTTGCCCTGGCCCTGCCACCCATCTGTTAGGTCACCTCCCTCTTTTTTTAATTTTTAAAGTGTTTTAATTTATTTCTTCCGGGACCAGCAGGTGGTGTAATGGTTATGTCGCTGGACTCTTATATGGCCAACTGCGGTTCAATGCCAGGCGGGTGTGCGTGCGTGCCCAAGATCCCTATAGGAGAATGGAGGAGACGGGATGGCAGCATGGCCATCCCCCCTGGGGGGTGATTTCTCGCTTTCTGTCTTCCTGTCTCTGGTGAGCGCATACACCCTATAGCAAAAATATCTCTCTTAAAAAAAAATGAAAGAAAAAAAAGGTAACTTAATACAAAACAAAAAAAAAAATTGCTTCTTCCATAAAAGACAGAGGCAGGCATCCCTGGCAGAGTCTTAATGTCAGGATCCACCCCGAGCCGGTCCAGATCATAGACACTCAGCATGCCTAGGAAGGCCCCAGGATGCGAACTCAGGGCTCTTCCCTCGTGAGTCCGGTTGTATTACGAGTGTGTCACCACCTGACCCTCGGTCACCTTTAAACCCAATATCGAATACCCTCTGTGCCAGGAGCTGGGCCGGGCACAGTTGTATTTTACCCAGCCTCACCTCCTGGGACCATCGGTATGCCTTTCCCCATTGTACAGATGAGAAAGGGCTTTTCCTCATCGCCCAAATCAAGCTGGCCAGCCTGAACGTGCTCCCCGAGCGCCAGCTCTGAGCTTGCCCAGCTCGTCCCAATAGCAGAGGGATAATATAACCGGAGGAGGACCAGCAGTTGGCGTAATGGCTGTGTCGCTGGACTCCCATATAGTCGACCGTGGTTCGAGTCCCGGACCCGGTGGCTTAAACTCACACTGGGTGCGTGTGCGTGCGTGCCCAAGATCCCGAGAGGAGAATGGAGGAGAAGGGATTATGGCGTGGCCATCCCCCCTGGGGGGTGATTTCTCGCTTTCTGTCTCTCTCTCTCTCTCTCTCTGTCTTTCTGGTGAGTACACGCACCCTATAACAAAAACCTCTCAAAAAATAAAAAAATTCAGTGACCTGAAAATGCCGCCTCTGTAGTAAGACAAAACCTGCTATAGTTATTAGGTTTCTGGACTCCCACATGGCCAACTGTGGTTCGAATCCCAGACCCCATGGCTTGAAAATCATGCCAGACACGTGTGCGTGCGTGCCCAAGATCCTGGGTGGAGAATGGAGGAGAAGGGATTGCGCGGTGGCCATCCCCCCTGGGGGACGATTTCTCAATTTCCCTCTCTCTGTCTCTTGTCTCTCTCTCTGGCAAGTACACTCTCCCTGTGGCCAAAATAAATAAATAAATAAGCCTGCTAGCAGATGACTTATGAGAAATGGGGTGTCTCAAGCATGTTCTCTTTGTTCCCCGCTAGAAACGATGCCCCTAATATGCCTTCTCTTTCTTCTGTTTAGGGACACAGCCGGTCAAGAACGGTTTCGGACGATCACCACGGCCTACTACAGGGGCGCGATGGTATGGATAGGTTTTTGATTTGTTTAGCCTTTTTTTTTTTTTTTTCTTTTAAGTGAGATTTTTGCTATAAGGGTGCGTGCGCTTGCCAGAGAGACAGAGAGCCATAGAGACAGAAAGTGAGAAATCACCCCTCAGGGAGGATGGCCACGCCGCAATCCCTTCTCCATTCTCTTCCAGGGATTTTGGATGCACACGCACACACACACACCTGCGCCTGATGTGAGTCTTAAGCCACCGGGTGTGGGACTAGAACCTCCGTCGATTACCCAGGAGTCCAACGACGTAGCCATGACACCATCCACTGGTCTCTGTTTGGCCTTTTTTTTTTTTTTTTTAAGTCCAAGTGACCTTGAAAAAGTGTGTGTTTGATGGGCCAGCCTGTAGTGTGGTGGTTAAGGCCGCCGGATCCCACGTGGCTGCCTGGGGGATTCGAGTCCTGGACCTGGTGGAGTAAAACACACCAGACATGTGTGCATGCGTGCCCAGAGTTCTGAAGGGAGAAGGGAGAAGAAGGGATTGCTGCATAGCCATCATCCCTGGAGGGCGCCTCCTCATTTTGTCTCTCTTTCTCTTTCCTCATGAGTGCATGCACCCTATAGCAAATATTTAAAAAGAAAGAAAGAAAGAAAAAAAGAAAGAGAGAGAAAAAAAAATGCATGTGTCTTTTGAGCCCCTGGGTCCTGAGCTAGTTTTCGGGAGCAACCGTTTGCCTCCTTCCACTCCACAGCCATGTTCATTCTCCCCTTCTGGCTTCGGACACGATTCAGGGTGTAAATAAAATGGAAACATCATTCTTGGGAAATGAAGGAAGACGGGACTCCGGTTCTTCCAGGGGAAGGAGATAACATCGGAGCCGGCGTGCCCCAACATTTTAGAGCGTTCACGGGCCCGAGTCAGCCTCTGTGGAATTTGCTACGAAAACTTGACCGCCTTCCAGGTGTTGGCTCACTCTGGGCCATTATATCTGTCAGCCCGGGCCTGAGGCAGGGTGACGGCATAGGAAGAGTCGATCGTCACCCCTTAGATATTTAGCACGCACCTCTGTGTCTGGGCCAGGCCTGAAGAGATGCAGAGGGGGTGAGAGAAGGGGTGGGGTGCTGCGCTCTAGGGCCCCGGGCAGGTTGGGTTCTTGTGATGCAAGTTCAAGGCATGTCACTCGGGGGTCAATGAGGATGGATCCCCCTCAGCCTGGCCTAACAGCCTGGCCTGCACTCTTGAGTCTATCCCCCCACTTGGAAAATAGAACAGAGACTAAGCCACTGTGAGCAGAGGTGGCCGTCCCTCCCCGTTCCCTGTTCCCACCACTCCCCGCTCTTTCCATAGCACACCCCATCATTTCATCACAAAGGTACCTGTTTCTGGGACCAGCAGTTAGCGTAATGGCTATGTCGCTGGACTCCCAGGTAGTCGATCGTGGTTCGAGTCCCGGACCCGGCAGCTTAAACTCACACCGGGCATGTGTGCCCAAGATCCCGAGAGGAGAATGGAAGAGAAAGGATTGTGGCATGGCCATTCCCCCTGGGGGTTGATTTCTTGCTTTCTGTCTCTCTGTCTCTCTCTGTCTGGCGAGCGCACGCGCCCTATAGCAAAAACCTCTCCAAAAAAAAAAAAGATACCTGTTTCTGCCACTAGGCCGGGAGCTGCTTGAGGCCGGGCCATGGCACGGTCACTGCCGCATGCCCAGTGCCTGGGAACCTGCTGGGTTGAAGGCGGGGTCTTGGGAAAGATGGTCGAGATGAATGGAGGCATTAAGTATTTATACCATCCCACTCCCACGCAGCGTCTGGGCACAATAGAAATTCAATCGTGTGGCTGCAACCCTAGAGCTCCTCATTAAAATTCATTTACTTCTTTTCCCCTCACCTTGCAGTGTTCCCGTGGAAGGTGGGACAGAGACCTTGGGGCATTGGGGTCCCAGGGGAATTTCTGCTCCTAAAGAGAGCTGTGTGGCCTTGGGTGGGTCCTGTCCCTCTCTGGGCCAAAATAGCCACCTCCCACTCTGCCTTATTCAATGCACTGTCCCTGAGCCTGACACTGGCCCCAGGTCTTTTTTCTTTTTTCTTTTTTTTTAATTAATTAAATTAAATTAATTTATTTAAAGAATTATTTTACTGGGACCAGCAGTTGGCGTAATAGCTGTATCGCTGGACTCCCATGTAGCCAACTGTGGTTCGAGTCCCAGACCCGGTGACTTAACTCACGCTGGGTGTGTGTGCCTGCACGCCCAAGACCCCGAGAGGAGAATGAAGGAGAAGGGATTGCACAGTGGCCATCCCCCCTGAGGGGAATTTCTTGCTTTTTGTCTCTCTGTCTGTCTCTGTCTTTCTGGTGAGCACATGTGCCCTGGAACAACAACAACAAAAAAAACTCTCCAAAAGAAAAGAATTATTTTACTTAGCTTTATTGATTTGATTTGATTTGTTTGTTTGTTTTAATTTGACCAGAGAGGGACAGAGAAAGAGAAAGTGAGAAAGCAAGCCACCAGGTCCAGGACTCAAACCACACTCGGCCATAACCAGGGATTCCAGCGCCCTTAACCACCACGCCATCTGCTGACCCTTATTTATTATTTTTAAAATTTAATCAGAGGGAACCAGCAGTTAGCGTAATGGCTATGTTGCTGGACTCCCACGTAGTCGACCGCGGTTCATGTCCCGGACCCGGTGGCTTAAAAATCACGCCCGGCGCGGGTGCGTGCGTGCCCAAGAGAATGGAGGAGAAGGGATTGCGGCGTGACCATCCCCCCTGGGGGGTGATTTCTCGCTTTCTGTCTCTAATGTCTCTCTCTGTCTGTCTGGCGAGCGCACGCGCCCTATAGTGAAAATCTCTCCCAAAAAAAAAAAAAATTTAATCAGAGAGAGAGGGAAAGTGAGAAAGTAAGCCGCTGGGTCCAGGACTCGAACCGCTGTTGACCCTGTGGGAGTCCAGCACCATAACCACCAAAACCACCTTGCGGCCCAGCCCCAGGTCTTATTCTAGATTATGTCATGGCATCATGGCCGTAAAGCCCCAAGCACAAGTGTCATCCCTATGCTGGTTTTATGGATGAGAAAACAGAGGCTCAGTGTGGTTCTGGCCCTGCCGAGGTTTATACAGAAAGTAAATGACCAGGCTGCTGCTGGCTGCCTGTCTCCGGCACCCACGTTCTCAACCAGCCCCCATGAGTGTGGAAGGAGCGATCGCAAACGCCATCCACACTAAGAAGTGTGGCTTTGAGTCCTCCTCCACCCATGCTAGCCCAAACAAAAGCCACCAGCCCCAAGGGACTAAATATAAATCAGTTAGGATTGAAGATCTGGCCCCTCAGCCCAGCCAGCTGCATTTCCGGTGCCTGGGTGCCTGTTCGGGACAGAGCAGGGAGCCTGGCCGCAGGGTAGCCCCAGCATCCTCTCTGTCAGCCGGTCCCGGGCCCTTAAGTCTAGATCTCCCGAATTTCAGAAGCAAATCAAATGCTTTTTTTTTGGGGGGGGAGAGGTTTCTGCTATAGGGCGCGTGCGCTCGCCAGACAGAGAGACAGAGAGACAGCGAGAAATCACCCCCCAGGGGGGATGGCCACCCCACAATCCTTTCTCCTCCATTCTCCTCTCGGGATCTTGGGCACGCACGCACACGCGCCCAATGTGAGTTTAAGCCACCAGGTCTGGAACTCGAACCGCGGTCGACTACGTGGGAGTCCAGTGACATAGCCATTATGCTAACTGCTGGTCCCAGTACTAGGTACTTAGTACTGGCCGGACCCAGGAGGTGACTCAGGCAGGGTGGCGTGAACGAGGTGTGAGGACAAAGCCTGTCTCAGGGTCGGTCTTGGGGACACGACGGGCATCAGGGCCCTGGGACACGGTGTGCTGGGGGGGCTGCAGGAGTCATGGGCTGCTGGGAGCACCTGGGGCAGATGGTGCCCACTCGGGGGCCCAGGGGCAGCACCTGAGCCTGCAGACCGGGGCGAAGCTGAGCCTAGAGCCCGGTGGAAGGAAGGAAGCGCTCCAGGGGCCAAGAGGCAGGGGCTGGCTTTCAGGGCACCGGGGAGGGGTGGAGAGTGGCAGCAGTGGGTACAGCTGAGGGGCAGGTGGTAGGCCACATGCCACTCCTCTCCCATGCTGGGCTGGCTCCGGAGAGTGCCCTTGGCCTGACCGGAGCCCATGTCTCCGTCTCTGTCTCTGTCTCTGTCCCTGCTCAGGGCATCATGCTGGTCTACGACATCACCAACGAGAAGTCCTTTGACAACATCCGGAACTGGATCCGGAACATCGAGGAGGTAAGGCCCGCCGCCTCCTCCCACCCTCGCCCCACAGCTCCCTGAGTGACAGGTGGGGAGGCCAAGGCACAGAGAGGGCCCAGGCGGCTGCCACTAGGGACGTCGCGGGAACTGGGACTGAAACCAGGATCCAACCGCAGACCCCACGCGGGCCTGGCCAGGCTGTTGGGTGTGGCCAAGTCCTGCTCGGGTAAGGGGGGTTTTCTGCGCTCCTGGTCCCCACAAACACTTGGTGCTGTCTAGAGAGGGACGGTCCCAGCCCCTCCTGACCCTTATCTGCAGGGCGTGGTAGGAGCCTGTCGGATTGTACTTTGAGTTCCGAGCAGCAGGTGGCTGTGAAGGGAGACCTTGAACCCAGTAGGGACGGGAAGACACCAGCCTCGCCCACCCCAGCCCTCAAAGCTGGCAGTGTCGTCTCCCTGCTCCCCAGAGAGCTGACCTCACCCCCATAACCTTCCTGAGTGGTGGCACCTGTAGGTTTTGGTGGCCAACCAGGTGGGGCTTCAGGTCAGAGGACTTTACTTGTCCTAAAGCCATGACAAGAGGGCCCGTCACTGTCTGCTTGGGACTCATTTTTTCTTTTTTTTCCTTTTGCCATAGGGCACATGCACTTCCTAGTGAGAAACAGAGAGAGAGAGAAAGAGAGAAATCACCCCTCCTGGGGGATGGACATGCCACAGTCCTTTCTCCGTTCTCCTCTCGGGATTTTGGGTACGCATGCACATCGCACTCAGCGTGTTTTTAAGACTGCCAGATCCGGGACTCGAGCCACACAGTCAGCCATGTGGGCTCCAGCGCCGGAACCACCATGCCACCTGCTGGCCCCTAGAACTTACTGATTTTGCAACAGCTGTGTGGTGGTCATACGGGAGCTTGAAACTCACACCAGGCACGTGTGCGTGCGTGCCCAAGATCCCAAGAGGAGAATGGAGAAGATGGGACTGAGATGCAGCCATCCCCCCGTCTCTCCAGTGAGCGATGCGCCCTATACCAAAAATCTCTTTTTTAAAAATATTAAATAGGGACCAAGAGATGGCATAATGGTTACGTTGCTGGACATCCATGTAGTCAACCGCGGTTCAAATCCCGGACCCAGCAACTTAAAACTCAACACCAGGCGTATATGTATCCGTGCCCAAGATCCCGAGAGGAGAATGGAAGAGAGGGAATTGCAGTATGGTCATCCCTCTGGGGGCGTGATCTCTCACTTTCTGTCTCTGTCTCCCTTAAGTGCACACACCCTACAGCAAAAATCTGCCTTAAAAATAATTAATTAATTAATCTTTGGGGGCTGGCAGGTGGCGTGGTGATTGGAGTACGGGACTCCTACATGACTGACTGTGGTTCAATTCCTGGACCTGGCAGCTTGCTTTCTCACTCTCTTCCATCTCTCTCTCTCTCTCTCTGTCTCTCTCTCTCTCTGCATCACTCTCTGATAAAAATAAAGAAGAATAACAAAATAAATATATTTTAAAAATTAATTCATCTTTAAAATGAATCAATAAACCCCCCAGTATCCAGTCATGGACGATTGGTTCTAGTCACCTCCCACAGGCCCCACCTCCTGGCCCTATAGCTAGAAAGTTTCCACCCTCAGCTCCCAGAGGCCAGCAGGTCCCACCCAGGGTGGTCTCCCCACCCGAGCCCGGGAGCCTGATTGATGCAGCCCGGGGGCCCAGGGAGAACCTGTCCTCAGCAGCCACACAGCTTGTCGTAAAGTGTGCAGTTGGTCCGAGTCGTCGAGAAGCCTGGGCTCAGGCAGGAAGCCCGGGCCCGGCCTCGGCTGTGTGTTGTGGAGCTGGCAGCTCAACCTCTCTGTGCCTCAGCTCGTCTTCCTAACAGCGTGTGCCTGTTAGTCCGGACCCCACCCCTCGGACTGGGAGGACAGTCTGCGTGGGCGAGGCGGCTTAGCTAGCTGTCCCGTCTGACCCGTCCACCCTCTCCTCCTCAGCACGCCTCTGCAGACGTCGAAAAGATGATACTCGGGAACAAGTGCGACGTCAACGACAAGAGACAGGTTTCCAAGGAGCGGGGCGAGAAGGTGAGCACCTCGACTGGGCCGGGCCTGGTGCAGCTGGACTCCGAGGGGCAGAGACCTTGGGGTGTCAGGGTCCCCTACAGAGAAGCCTGCCTCTTTTATTTTTTTTCATTTTTCATTATTTAATTAATTTATTATTATTATTATTTTATTATTATTTTTTTTTTGGAGAGATTTTCACTGTAGGGCGCGTGCGATCGCGCACACACGCCCGGCGTGAGTTTTAAGCCACTGGGTCCAGGACACGAACCGCGGTCGACTACGTGGGAGTCCAGCGACATAGCCATTACGCTAACTGCTGGTTCCCATTAATTTATTATTATTTGTTAGTTTGACCAGAGAGAGAAAGAGAGAAAAAGCAAGCCACCAGGTCCAGAACCTGAACCATGATCGGCCATGAGGCATTCTAGCACCTCAACCGTACCTCCTGCTGGCCCCAAGGCCTGCCTTTGTCCCTGCCCTGCCCTGGGGTCTCCCTACTTACTCATTGACCAAAAGATCATGCTCTGGGGGCATCCCTCACAATTCTTTTTTTTTTTTTTTTTGCTATAGGGGGTGTGCGCTCACCCGACAAACAGAGAGACAGAGAGACAGAAAGCAAGAAATCACCTCCCAGGGGGGATGGCCACGCCACAATCCCTTCTCCTCCATTCTCCTCTTGGGATTTTGGGCACGCAAACACATGCGCTCGGTGTGAGTTTAAGCCACTGGGTCTGGGACTCGAACCACGGTCGACTACATGGGAGTCTAGCGACATAGCTATTACGCTAACTCCTGGTCCCCCAACCCTCACAATTCTTATGAACATAAAATGATACATTGTCTCAGCTTGCCTGGGACAGTAGTGGGTCACAGGGTGAATGGGCCACCCCACGAGGGCACATGTCATGCATGGGGAATGAAAGAGCAAGAAGCACAGGCCCAACAGGCTTCAGGCTAAACAGTGCTCACGGGAGCCAGCAGGTGGCGTGCTGGTTAAGGTGCTAGATTCCCCACGGCCGACGGCACGGTTCAAGTCCTGGACCTGGCGGCTTGATCAACACGCTAAGGGCGTGTGCGTATGTGCGCATGCTCAGCATCCCAGGAGGAGAATGGAGAAGGGATTGTGGTGTGGCCATGCCCCCTGGAGGGATGATCTGTCCCTTTGTCTCTGTCTCTGGCGAGCTCACGTCTCCCCGTTCACACCTGTGTCCCTCCCTGCAGCTGGCCTTGGACTACGGGATCAAGTTCATGGAGACCAGTGCGAAAGCCAACATCAACGTGGAGAACGTGAGTCCCGCCCTGCGGGAGACACAGGCTGGGGCGCCGGTCTCAGGTTCCGGGCAGCCGGGCGGTCCTCGGAGGGGAACTTCCTGGGCCGGAAATCACCACCGTGTTCTGATGACAGCCGGTGCGGGTGCCCCGGCGTTTTTTTTGGATGATGTGGGGATGGACAGGACTGCACAGATGTGAGAGAAAACATGAGAAAAAGAGATTGGAGGTGATCTGATGGAGGTTCCACTCTAGAGACTCAGAAGCTGTTGATTCCATTAACAGAGATGAGGAATGCAGGAGTATGGGTGAGTAGATTTTCAGGAACAGATACTGAGTTTCACTTGGAGCAGAATTTTTCAATTTCAAAATAAATGTTCAATTTTGAATTTTTTTAAACCGTTCTCTTTCCAGAAAATTTATGATATGTGAGTTTTGTAATTTAAAGGGAAGATAGAAAATAATTTGGATTCCTCTGGAACACTAGTCAACATTTCCCATCCTTTGGAGTTAGGTTTTGAAACAAACAAACAAACAAAACTTTTAGGCCTTAAGGCTAGCATGGTTGTTAGGGCATCTGGATCCCACATGGCTGACTGAGCTGCTCCAGCAGCTGGAAAAACACGGGGTGCATGTGCATGCGTGCTCAACATTTTGAGAGGAGGATAAAGAAGAAAGGATTATGGTGTGATCACCTTCCCTGGGGAGTGCTTTCTCACTTCCCCTCTCTTTTTTTCTCTCTCTGGTAAGTGTACACACCCTATAACGAAACTTCAAAAACAGAAACAAACCAACTAAATTTTATTGTGATTTCTAATTTATATATTATATATTTTTGTGTTTCATGGGGTATAGTGTAATTTTCAGAACATGTATATAGTGTGTAATGATCCTTTTTTTTTTCTTTTTTTTTGGAGAGGTTTTTGCTATAGGGCGTGTGCGCTCACCAGACAAACAGAGAGACAGAGAGACAGAAAGCAAGAAATCACCTCCCAGGGGGGATGGCCACGCCACAATCCCTTCTCCTCCATTCTCCTCTTGGGATTTTGGGCACGCAAACACATGCGCTCGGTGTGAGTTTAAGCCACTGGGTCTGGGACTCGAACCACGGTCGACTACATGGGAGTCTAGCGACATAGCTATTACGCTAACTCCTGGTCCCCCAACCCTCACAATTCTTATGAACATAAAATGATACATTGTCTCAGCTTGCCTGGGACAGTAGTGGGTCACAGGGTGAATGGGCCACCCCACGAGGGCACATGTCATGCATGGGGAATGAAAGAGCAAGAAGCACAGGCCCAACAGGCTTCAGGCTAAACAGTGCTCACGGGAGCCAGCAGGTGGCGTGCTGGTTAAGGTGCTAGATTCCCCACGGCCGACGGCACGGTTCAAGTCCTGGACCTGGCGGCTTGATCAACACGCTAAGGGCGTGTGCGTATGTGCGCATGCTCAGCATCCCAGGAGGAGAATGGAGAAGGGATTGTGGTGTGGCCATGCCCCCTGGAGGGATGATCTGTCCCTTTGTCTCTGTCTCTGGCGAGCTCACGTCTCCCCGTTCACACCTGTGTCCCTCCCTGCAGCTGGCCTTGGACTACGGGATCAAGTTCATGGAGACCAGTGCGAAAGCCAACATCAACGTGGAGAACGTGAGTCCCGCCCTGCGGGAGACACAGGCTGGGGCGCCGGTCTCAGGTTCCGGGCAGCCGGGCGGTCCTCGGAGGGGAACTTCCTGGGCCGGAAATCACCACCGTGTTCTGATGACAGCCGGTGCGGGTGCCACGCAGGGCACCCAGGGCATGTGGTCTCACTGGCTCTCGGGCCGCCCTGGAGAGCAGGTGGGGACAGAGGCTGGGAGAATCCAGCCGGCTGCGTGTATAGGCTCAGTTCTGGGTTCCTGACCCCACCCCACCCCGGCCAGGCTGCGGCCCACACACAGGCCCCAGCTGGAAGCCAGGACAGAGTAGGGAGCCTGACGTCCTTAGCCCAGCCCACCCTCTTCTCCACAAGGCAAGGCCAGTCGAGGGGCCGGCTCACCTTCCTCCCCATTCCGCCGCCCTGTAGTGATGGTCCCTGTCACTCCCGACGACCTCTGTGCTGGCCTGGGGCAGGGCCAGGCTTCTTGCCGACATCGAAGGCCTCCCTCACTGGCCCCTAGCAGCCAGCGTTCCCTGCTCAGGGCTCAGGCCGTCCCCAGCCACCCGAGCCACTCCCTGCTCCGCCTTTTCTGTACCCCGTCCCTCCTGCCCCCTTCTTGTCTGTCCCACTCCTCTGCCCATCAGAGACCAGTCCATGCGGCCCCTCTCTCCCGGGCAGCCTCCATCACCTCCCAGACCACTAGGTTCCCCGGCACCCAGGCCACCCTCCATGACAGGACTTCCCACACCACGTGGGTGCGTCTTGAGACTCGGCCTTTCCCTCGAAGCCCCTGAGCACAGGGGCCAAGCCTGACTCCCTGAACGTGTGTGGTCGTTCCCCAGTACCCACAGAGGACTCGTTACAGCGTGTTCAAGTCCCTCATAGAACATGGCAGAGTGCGGCCAGCAGGTGGCCTCGTGGTTAGGGTGGCTGGACCCCACATGGCCAACTGTGCAGTTTGCGTCCCGGACCTGGTGGCTTAAAACTCACGCCAGGCGCGTGTGCGTGCGTGCCCAAGATCCCCAGAGGGAACTGGAGGAGAAGGGATTGCGGCGTGGCCGTCCCCCTGGGGGGTGATTTCTCGCTTTCCCTCGCACTCGCCCAGTGAGCGCATGCGCCCTCTAGCAAAGTAAAAACAGAAGGTTCTCATTTGTTAGTTAGGGACTCTGTAACAGCGGGTTGGACCGGAGGGGCTGTTTGGGTGGGCAGGGGGAGGCATCATGGCTGCGGGGGTCACTGGATGGCAGCCGAGCCCACTGCCACAGGCCTCAAAGGCCCCGGAAGCCCCATCCCGCTGTGCCCCTACCCCGCGGGGGC